GAGTTGGACACAACTGAGCAGTAAACACTTTCACACTTTCACTTTCAAAATATATGAGGGAATAAAACTGCATGCTTTCTGTAAGGGTCTTTCAGATATGAAATTCTAGGAAAGAGGCTAGATGACCACTTAAGAGGATAGGTTGAGATATTGTGCTATTAAGGAATCATATTAAGATGCTATTTTCCTAGAACCCTAGGAATGCCTGAACCCTATCTTACTCCATCTATACCTTCTCTCTCCAAGCTCCCCATGGAAGTACATGCTTTTAGGAAAGCAAAAATCATTCACTAGTTAATTGATTCAGTGGATATGTATTGAACACTACAATGTGCTAGGTAGTGTGCTATGCTGCTGGCACACATCAAAGAGAATCCAAGACAAAAATCCATAGCTTTACAATAAGGAGGAAAAAATGATGAGAACAAATAAGTTATACGGCACGTTTTAAGTTAGGTACTATGGGAAACTCTGGGAGGTGGTGATGGACAGGGAGGCCTGGCGTGCTGTAGTCATGGGGTCACAGAGTCAGACACAACTGAGCAACTGAGCTGAACTATGGGAAAAGAAAGAGCATGGTAAAGTTTACTAAGCATAGTGTGGATAGTAAACTGAGTGGAGGTCAGGGTAGGATTCATTCAGAAGATAATAATTAAGCAAAGACTTGAAAGAGGCATGACAGCATAACAAGTGCAAAGGCTATGACACAAGAGAGACACGCATGCTGGAAGAATTGCAAGGAAGCCAGGGTGACTGGAACAAAGACAGCAAGGGAAGGCAGAGTAGGAGATAAGCCACAGAGGAACAGAAGATGAGATCATGTAAGAGCCTGTAAGCCGTGGCAAGGAGTGCAGCTAGCTGTTACTCTGTATAGAATGAGGAAATACTTGATGGCTATTGTGTACAGAATACAGTATACAGAGAAAGGGTAAAAGTAGAGATACAAGTTAGGAGGCTATGGAAGCAGTAAAACTTTAACTTATTACCGTGGTGGAATAAAAACCAACTGTTGAGAAACAAAGATTGGGGTGACAAGGGAGCCAGGGTGCTACAAGACAGTAAAATGAGGACAGTACCTGAGGAGGGTGTGGGTATGTATATGCATGTGTGAAGGGCTTTAGCACACCTCCTTCCCATCTGTATTCCCATCTGTATCTTTCATCCCCAAAGAAAAGGATCTCCCATATTGCCTTTTACTTCCTGTTTGCTCTCTGCATAGGAATCAAAACAGGTCAAAACTTGGTTGGGACTCAGTTCCTGTAACCTGATTGTCACATTTTGAAGGGTCTTGGACCTTTTTTGAAAAGCCAGCTTAAGACTAGTTGTTCACTCGCTAAGTTGTGTCAAATTCTTTGCGACCCCGTGGGCTGCAGCACACCAGGCTTCCCTGTCCTTCACTGTCTCCTGGAGTTTGCTCAAACTCATGTCTGTTGAGTCAGTGATGCCATCCAACCATCTCATCCTCTGTCGCCCCCTTCTCCTCCTGCCCTCAATCTTTCCCAGCATCAGGGTCTTTTCTAACGAGTCAGCTCTTCACATCAGGTGGCCAAAGTATTGGAGCTTCAGCTTCAGCATGTCCTTCCAATGAATATTCAGGGTTCATTTCTTTTAGGATTGACTGGTTTGATCTCTTTGCTGTCCAAGGGACTCTCAAGAGTCTTCCCCAGGACCAGTTTGAAAACATCAGTTCTTTGATGCTCAGCCTTCTTTGTGGTTCAACTCTCACATCCATACTTGACTACTGGAAAAGCCATAGCTTTGATTATACGGACTTTTGTTAGCAAAGTAATGTCTCTGCTTTTTAATATGCTGTCTAGTATATCTGTAAGTCTCATTCATCTTGTGTAACTGAAATTTAGTACCCTTTCACTAATACTTCCCAGTTCACTCCAGCTCATGGCAACCACCATTCTGTTCTCTGCTTCTGTGAATTTGACTATTTTAGATTCCACATATGAGTGAAATCGTACAGTATTTGTCTTTGTCCACCTTATTTCACTTAGCATGATGTCCTACAAGTTCATCAGTGTTGTTGCAAATGGTAGGATTTCTTCTTTCTAAGGCTGGATAATATTCCATAGTATGTATGTATGTTTTCTTATCCACTTATCTGTTAATGGATATTTGCTTCCATGTTTTGGCTATTGTGAATAATTTTGCAATAAAATATGGGAATGAAGATATCTCTTTGATATCTTGATTTCAATTCCTTTGGACAGAGAACCAGAAGTGGGATTGCTGGATCACATGGTAGCTCTATTTTTAATTTTTGAGGAGCCTCTCTACTGTTTTCCATAGGGGCTGTACCAGTTTACATTCCCACTAACAGTGTAGGAGGATTCTCTTTTCTCCACATCCTCACCAACACTTGTTATATCTTATCTTTTTTGATGACAGCTGTTCTAACAGATGTGTGGTGATATCGCATTGTGGTTTTAATCTGCATTTCCCTTATGGGTAGAGATGTTGAGCATCTTTTCAAGTCCCTGTTAACCATTTTGTATGTCTTCTTTGGACTAATATCTATTTAGGCAAATTAAAAATACTGTGTTAAATACTTAAAATTTACTAAGTGGGCAGATCTTATGTTAAGTGTTTTGTCACAAAATAATAATTTAATATAATAATAGGGCTTCCCTTGTGGCTCAGCTGGTAAAGAATCTGCCTTCAGTGTGGGAGACCTGGGTTGGGAAGATCCCCTGGAGAAGGGAAAGGCTGCCCACTTCAGTATTCTGCACTGGAAAATTCCATGGACTGTATAGTTCATGGGGTCGCAAAGAGTCGGACACGATTGAATGACTTTCACTTTCAACATAATAATAAATGAGGGTAGAAGCAAAGTTTTGAAGCAGATGGATATTTTGTAGCATAGATTGTGGTGATAAGTATATTAGCCTGAGTTTAGCCTGGGTGCTTTCTGCTGAATAAAAAGCTTGAAGGGGTCTTAAAAGTTGTAACAAGGAGGAGAGAAGGCATTAGGATGCATTTAAGTACCAGTGAAAAGACCACAGCATAATCTGGCTTGGGAAGTACCCTACTCCCACCAACATCTGCTTTATCATTACTTCTCTGTGCTTCAGTAGAATGGGTATAAAGTGGATGGGAATGAAAATAGGAAAGCTATTATAATTCAGTTCTGCTCCTGAACAGAAATCAGTACCTTTTGCATCTTGGCTTTGACAGTCTATTTGTTGTGGTTATATATGCCATGTCCTCAGGACAACAGGGTAGACATAAAGTAGTTTCCCTTTGGCATTACTCATAATAGGCAGTATCTTGGAAATACTAATATAAGTGGAGAAAAGGAACACAGTTTTCTTTATTAAGCCCTCATGAAATCTTTTATGTATCCAACAGGAGCAGGCTTCTCAATGAAAGATATTTCTCTTGTATCAGATTCTCTGAGTCATAAAACTCCCTACCTATGCCTTAAGAATAAAGAGTAGATTGGTGGTATATTGCAGTCTGACTTGGGAATTGAGCTTTTGTCCAAGACACATGGGAAATTTTATAAATATCCAAGGGATTAGTTAGAGCTGCAAGGACACTTGCCATCTAGTTTTAACCTCTTACTATTTAGATAAGGAAATGGAAAATAAGAGATGGGTAAATATTTGCTAAAGGGCACACACTTTGTTTCTACCTTCCAGCCTAGAGTTCTTGCTAATAAACACCTGAGCATGTTTGCTTTAGTCAGCCAGATTTGAGCAGTATCCACTATTGCTACTGTGATCATTTATGAGGTGGTACATATTTATCAAGTTTAACAGTTAGCCAGGATAAGAGATTCTTGCCAGTTGGCCACCTAAAACTCTAAGAGGATGGCAGGGATTGAACCCAAAGGTATACAGGTTAGCTAGAAAAAGCTCATCAGAGTTAGCTGTCAAATAATTCTGAATTTTTGCTGTGCGATTCCCATTTCCACGTAGCAGGTTACTTCCTAGGACAAAGAAAGTTGAGGCTCAAAATATATGAAGGAAAAAGAGGGGAAATTTTGGAAGTGATTATTTAGAGAGAGTGATGCCAGAGAATGAGTATGTGGGTATGGCAAGTCTTACTCAATCCAGATTTCCACTGAGGAATCCGTGAACAGTCTCTCCTACGTGTGGTCCCTATTAAGAGCACATGAGTCCTTCATACTTGACCTCTGAGGTGTTTGATGTCCTCCATAAACTTTGTAATTTTTTTCTCACCGGCTGCTGTGTGTATACATGCATGTGCAAGTATGTGTATGTGTTCTCCAAGAATCACCTTCTTCAACAAAGCTATACCAGTTTCTATAAGCATCAGAGCCATCTTTTGTGCTTATTATCAGGTTAAAGATATCCTTTCTACACATCCCTCCTCTCCAGTGCAGTCTCTAAAGTATTTAATTCACATCATAGCCTGCTGAGGAGAATTGTTTCAGAAATAAACTGCTGGGCTTCCAAGGTGGTGTAGTGGCAAAGAATCCTCCTGCCAATGTGGGAGATGTAAGTGATGTGAATTCGATCCCTGGGTCGGGAAGATCGCCTGGAGAAGGAAATGGCAACCCACTCCAGTATCCTTGCCTGGAAAATTCCATGGACAGAGGAACCTGGCAGGCTACAGTCCATGGAGTTTCAAAGAGTCAGACACAACTGAGTGACTGAGTGTACACTCATACATGCAGTTAAACTGCTATCAGGACTGAATGACTCAAAACCTGGTGTTTCCATTCTTCTTTGGTGGGGAGGTAGCTAAGGGAGCTCAGCTAGGGCAGATAAATGATACTTGTTTTCCTAAAGGTGGTAAGCTGGATTCACATCTGATCTAAAAATCTGAATACTGAATGCTGTTTTGAGAGGCTCTCTAGTTCAGTTAATCCATCCCTTGTGTTCATAAAATCTTAGATCTCAGTGAACCTAAACAAACAAATTTTTGTTTTTTTAGCAGTACTCCACTGCTGGTGAATGGAAACAGAGCTCCATGTTTAATAACATTCACTTTAGCTTAATTTCATATTCTGTTCTTCCTTTTAGGTTAACAATTCATGCCGAGTGCCCCATGCATTTGGAAGATTTTCCTATGGATGTGCATGCCTGCCCACTGAAGTTTGGAAGCTGTATGTAACTGTTCCTTAGTAGTTTCAAAAACTGAGACCTTTAATTTGGGCCAGTATGTAAGTGGGGAAAGGGAGTGGGATGGGGTAGTACTAACTGATCAGGAGGAGATTTAACCTTTAATAGGATTTTCATTTTAGGAAGCAAACCTTATTTCACCATTTTAGACTAATTTTTTGGTCTTTAGGTTGAAACATTAACATCTGTTTCCTAAATTATCCATAAGACAAGTCAAGGCAGAGCTAATATAAAGCACAATAATAGCTTCCTAAAGACAAGATCCTTCAAACAGAAGGTGTTTATATTTTTTAAATGCCTATTCTATGTGCATCCTCGTATAGTTCTATCTAAGTCTCTATAGCGAATGATAAACAGTAAGAGATGGAAAATTTTCTCCTTTTAAGAGAGTATTGCCCTTGCCAGTAGCTGTAAATCTGGCAGAGAAATAAGTAGATACATAGCCTATTTTCAGATCATTAGAAAAATCAAAATTGAGTAGAATTTGATTGAGTTTCTGACTAAGAATTTCAGAGTAAGTTTAATTTGGGAGTCATCAGAGCAACAGTGGCAGACTTTATTTTTTGGGCTCCAAAATCACTGCAGATGGTGACTGCAGCCATGAAATTAAAAGACGCTTACTCCTTGGAAGGAAAGTTATGACCAACCTAGACAGCATATTAAAAAGCAGAGACATTACTTTGCCAACAAAGGTTCATCTACTCAAGGCTATGGTTTTTCCAGTAGTCATGTTTGGATGTGAGAGTTGGGCTATAAAGAAACCTGAGCGCTGAAGAATTGATGCTTTTGAATTATGGTGTTGAAGAAGACTCTTGAGAGTCCCTTGGACTACAAGGAGATCCAACCAGTCCATCCTAAAGGAAATCAGTCTTGAGTATTCATTGGAAGGACTGATGTTGAAGCTGAAACTGCAATACTTTGGCCACCTGATGCAAAGAACTGACTCATTTGAAAAGACCCTGATGCTGGGAAAGATTGAAGTCAGGAAGAAAAGGGGACAACAGAGGATGAGATGGTTTGATGGCATCACTGACTCAATGGACATGAATTTGGGTAAACTCCAGGAGTTGATGATGGACAGGGAGGTCTGGTGTGCTGCAGTCCATGGGGTTGCAAAGAGTCAGACACGATTGAGTGACTGAACTGAACTGAACTTGGAGCAATATATCATGGTCTGTGTTTATCATCTCTAAATTATATTTATCTCTGTATTTTAATGTAGAAAGTGCATTTGAAAAGACCCAAATAATTATGTGTGTCATATTTTTTCAATCATTGTCAAATATTTACAAATTATCTCCTGTGGGCCAGGCTCTATTATAGGAGCTTGGAATGCATCCATGAATAAAACAAAGACCCTGCCCTTGTGGAGCTTATATAGAGGAGAGAATGATGGCAAAAGAGAAAATAAACACTAGATTAGAAAGTAAAGTATAAAGTATGTTGTAAAATGAGAAGCACCATAAGAAGACATAAAAGTACTGCAGAATAAGGTGGGGTCAATCATGTCTAGGTAGAAGACAGGCATTGCCATTGAAATTTAAAATAAAGTAATCAGTGTAGTCTTCTTTGAAAAAGTGACAGTTGGGCAGAAAGTTTGAGGAGGCAAAAGGTTTAACAAGACAGGTATTTGTGGAAATAATTCTGTAGTTATAGGGAACAGCCAGGGACAAGATCCTGAGTCAGAAATGTATCTGACTTGTTAAAGAACATCAAAGTGCCAGATGTGAGATCAAAGAGGGTGTCAGGCCATCTGCAGTCTTGATGGACAGTAAAGCACTTTGAATTTTATTCTGAGGGAAAATGGAGTTATTGGAATATTTTGATATAATATCTGATTTTTGGTTTTTTAAGAATCATTATGATAAAAATGTTATGACTAAGTTTGAGAAAGATAGAAGCAGGGATTCCAGTTAATAGGTTATTGCAATATTTTAGCTGAGAGATGATGATGGCTCAGATCAGAGTGATAGTGGCATAAGTGGTAAGATTCTGATTCTGGATACATTGTGAAGGACAATCTGAAAGGATCCTCCAATGAATTAGATATAGAATACCACAAGAAGAGAACTCAAGGATGACTTATAGATTTCTGTCCTAATGGATTTACTATCAAGTTAGGTAAGTATTACTTCCATTCTGTGTAGGATAGAGTTGTTTGTGAGTGAACAAAGGTCCCCTCATGAACAATTAGGAAACCTAGAGCTGTTGAGCAATAAAGAATGAAAAGACTAAAATTCTGGCGATAGGGTAGAACCTCCTTTATTCTTGGTGTATGTTAGTTACTCAGTTGTATCTGACTCTTTGCCACCCCATAGACTGTAGCTCGCCAGGCTCCTCTGTCCATGGGATTCTCTCGGCAAGAATCCTGGAGTGCGTTACCATTCCCTTCTCCAGGGGATTTTCCCACCCCAGGGATTGAACCCAGGTCACCTGCATTGCAGGCAGATTCTTTACCGACTGAGCCACCAGGGAAACCCCTTCATTCTTGGTGGTACTTTCCAATTCTGGCCATGGATTGCAGCTTGGAATTCAAGTTTTGCCCTGACCATAGGGCTGCTGCTGCATGATATATATAAAAAAGTAGTAGAAAATGAACTTATGGTTGGCGGGGTTGCCAGGGAGAAGGGATAATTAGGGGGGTTGGGATAAACATGTACACACTACATTTAAAATAGATAATCAACAAGGACTTCCTGTATAGCACAGGGAACTCTGCTGAATGTTACGTGGCAGCCTGCATGGGAGGGGAGTGTGTAGGAGAATGGACACGTGTATATGTGTGGCTGAGCCCCTTTGCTGTCCACCTGAAGCTATCACAACACTGTTAATCAGCTATGCATGCTAATTCACTTCAGCCGTGTCCAACTCTTTGTGACCCTTTGGACTATAGCCAGCGAGGTTCCTTTGTCCAAGGGATTTCCCAGGCAAGAAGACTGGAGTGACAATTGGCTATACTCCAATACAATATATAAAGTTTAAAATTTTGTTTAAAAATGACTTTCCATTAGCAGTATACATGGCAAAAACATACACTTATAATAAGCAAAATCAAGTGATCAGATCCACATATATTCCTGTACTGATACTTGAAATTTCAACACTTTTGACTCAGTTTGCCAGCATTTCCTGTTCTTGCTTTGACTTGACATTAGTAGACTTCTTTAATCCAGTAATGGTTCTATGTCTACTGTTAAGCTTTAATTTTTATAGGAGAATTATAACCCTTTTTCCATTTTGCTTATTTCTCAACTATTTTTCTAAATATTTGATTTTCAAAAAAGATATATACATTTCCCAATAAATGTCAGAAAGGAAATTACACATAGAAACAATAGTCAGGATAGTAGTTACACTTGATGGGGTTTATGCTTGATAAGGGACACAACTAGTGCTTCTGGGTGCTGAATATATGGAATGTAAGTCTGGTTTCAGGAAAGATATCTAGTATGTGTTAGTCGCTCAGTTATGTCCAACTCTTTGTGACCCCATGGAATGTAGCCCACTCCAGACAAGAATACTGGAGTGGGTAGCCAATCCCTCCTCCAGGGGATCTTCCCTACCCAGGGATTGTTCGTGGGTCTCCTGCATTGTAGGCAGATTCTTTACCATCTGAGCCAGCAGACTGGATATTTAATTGAAGTTTCATCCATTTAGATGGTATTTAAAGGCATAAGGCTGGAGGAGTTGCCTGCATGTAGATAAGAGTACAAAGACTGTTTCCTGAATCACTGTAACATTTAGAGGCTAAAGAGAAGAGAATAACTCAGTAAATGTGAAGGATAGGACAGGTGTAGTAAGAGGAAACTTAAGGGAACATACCGTCCTAGAAGCAAATTAAGTATATTAAGAAGGAGAGAGTGGTTTAAATTCTTAAGTGGGCAGTTAATATTGACTTTGAAAACTAATAAGGAAGCAATTCTGGAATGGTAAAGTGAGAACTTCTGAAAATCCACTCTTCCATAAAAGCAACAAGAACATTTTCAAAAGTTGTCAAAATAAACTTTCTCCAAACTCTAACCAAAGGCTCACAACAGTCTGAGGAGTGTTAGTCAAGAGAAATGGCTGATTCACATTAAGGCGAGACAACCATGTTCTGATCCTCTTCACCCCCATACTGAAGAAGTCTTGAAGATTTCATAATGATAAAAAGGATCAATGCATCAGGAAGATATAACAATTATAAAGATGATTGTACCTAGAAACCCAAAATGCACAGAGAAAAACTGACAAGAATAGAAAAGGGAAATAGACAATTCAATAGTAAAAAAAAAAAAAAAAAAACCTAAACATTTTAATGTTCCACTTCCATAGAGTAACTAGACAGAACATCAACATAGAAATAGAAGACTTGAACATCATACAAAGCAATTAGGTCTAATTAGCATTTATATTGCACTCTACCAAATAATATCAGAACACCCATTATTCTGAAGTGCACATGGAATATTTTCTGTAGTTGACTGTATGTTAGGTCTTAAAACAAGATGCAGTCAGTTTAAAGTACTGAAACCATATGAAGTGTGTTATCTAACCTCACTTTAATGAAATTAAAAATCAACTATGGAAGGGAATTGGGAAATTCACAAATACGTTGAAATTAAACAGCATACTCCTAAATAAAAAAAATGTGTCAAAGAAAAAATCATAAGGGAAATTAGAAAATATTTTGAAATTAATGAAAATTACGTACAAGGTAAATACAGCTTAAAGCAATGTTTAGAGGGAAATTTATAACTGTATCAAAAAGAAGAAAGATCTAAAATCAATAACCTGAACTTCCACCTTAAGAAACTAGAAAGAGAAGAGCAAACTAAATTCAAAACAAGCAGATAGAAGAAAATAATAAACATTAGAGTGAAATTAAATGAAACAGAAAATAGAAAAACATTAAAGAGAATCAAATATTGTAAAAGTGGTTTTTTGAAAAAATCAATAAACTGATAAACCTTTAGCTAGACTAATGAAAGAGAATACAAAACAC